CAATTCCTAGTTTAGATGCATCTGTGTAAAGCTTACATGACAATGAAGGATCATATGTAGTTAGAACTGAGTTTGTAGATAAATGGAACTTTAGTTTCTGAAATGATTTGTCAACTTCACTTGTCCATTTGAATAACTTATTTTTTCTTGTCAGGCTTGTTAAAAGATCCGCAATTTTACTAAACTTAGGAATATATTTCTTGTAGTAACTTACTAAACTCAAAAATCTCCTTACTTGTTTCACTGTATTAGGCTGAGGAAATTCATTTATTGCCTTTATTTTTTCAGGGTCAGGTTTAATCTTGTTGTGTCCTATGATATGTCCTAAATGTCTTATTTATTGTTTTTCAAAGAAACATTTCTTCAACTTGAGTTATTTTTGTTGTTCAGATGGGAGGTGAGTTTCAGCAGGTATGGAAAAGCATTCATTTTCTTTTAGATACACAGCTTTGTCTTTTGTATCAATTATTAATCCAATTTTTCCTGCTATGCCAAGTCCAATAAGCAATGGATAACTAAGGTTTTTAACTACTTGAAGTTTAAACTTGATTATTTTAGAATGGATTTCTAAGTTACTTTCACCGAACCTTAGGTATAAGTATAACTGTTCACCTGTTTAATTTTAATTATATCATTTTTATTCAAATTTAAATTAAGTTGTTTTAAAGTGACTAACTGATTAATGAAATAGTGAAGCCAGTATCAATAAAAGATTAAATGAGCATATCATTAAGTGAAACTTCAACATTAACAAATTTATATGGATTGGTGATATTTGATATGCAAAATGAATCAGCAGTTGGTTGATGTCTCTGCTGGTGTACTTTATAATTTGGATCAAAATACTTAGTTATTTATCCAATGTTTGAGTTGCAATCTTTTTTTTTTTTTTTTTTACAAATTGGGCACCAATATGGGCAAATTTTGAGGTTGTAGATGTAGACATGTTAAAAACTTTGTTTTTGTTTCTCTGTTGGTTCATACGACTATTATTATTTTCAATCTCCATGGCTATTTGCATTCAATGTGATGGATCTTTAGACTGGGCTGCCACAAAATGATTCTTCCATTCTAATGATAATCCATCTGTAAGCATTTGTAATTTTTCTAAATTATTGAGACTTGTTTGATTCAAAAGTCTATTTTTCTCTCTATAATAATTTTCGACTGTTTCTTCTTTTCTAAGTCTTCTTTTAGATGCTGCTACTATAGGGTTTTCAACTTTGTAACCGAAACGCTGGATTAATTTAGACTTTACAGTATCCCATTTTTTAATAGATAAACTCCCTAATATCTCATCACCGAATCATTCTAAAGCATCTTTTAATGATTAATAAATTTAAATATTGATTCTTTCACTTTTTTTTTCATCTAGCTTGATAGTTTCCAATTCACAAAGGTTAAGCCAGGATTCAGGAAGAATTGAACCTTTCTCACCGCTGAATTTTTCGAATTTGTTTACGCCTGCCGCCATTTTACCTTTCCTGCGTCGTAGCCTTTTGTATGGTATCCTGTCATAGCTGCACCAAATTTAATGTAAAGTTTTTGTGTTAAATGTTGAAATATATTTTTACAATGGTAATTTATTTGTTGTTGTTTTTTAAAAATGAAGATGCAAATTACATTGTTGCCGTTCCTTATTATCGTTTGTTATAAAAAATTACAATGTATTTGATGATGATAACAAAAATGACATTTTAAATTAATATACAAAAATCATTGAAAAAAAAAAGAAATACTTAATTATAGAATTCACAAACGTGACAATACATTATTTATTTTGACATTTGCGGTTATACTGTACTATATATTGACATTATATATTTTCCCAAAGGTATTTATTTCATCATAAATGAAAAAATATATTCCAAATTTTGAAAAGGTGCCGTGACCAGGATTCGAACCTGGGTTATTGCGGCCACAACGCAATGTCCTAACCACTAGACGATCACGGCGGGTGACAACTGGACACTTACAGGGCTACTTGAGGGTAAGAAAACGCTCACGTGATACAGAATGGCCATTTTTACATCGCTTTCTTAAAGTTTACAGAAAAAATATTGCACTTTTGAACATATTTTAAATATTTCTTTTTTTTGTCTCGAAATATTTATTTCTGTGAGAGTAAGCACGGGAAACAATTTACTTAAAATGAACATATTGAAGGTTAGATATAAGAAGGTTGCTACAATGTCGCTCTACCTCACGTGGCCTTTTTTCCTGCCTCAAATAGCCATGTAAGTGTCCAGTTGTCATCTGCCGTGATAGTCTAGTGGTTAGGACATTGCCTTGTGGCCGCAATAACCCAGTTTCGAATCCTGGTCACGACACTTTTTTTATTTTCTTTAGAAATAGTTTTCATGTTGGGAGACTTAATTTTTTTTTTTGATAGATTTTATTTTAAGAGAGGAAAAGCGAAGATGCGATCAACCAAGTTTCAGCGATATCATAGTGACTAATTTATATATTCAAACTATAATGTTGAATATCCCTGAAGAGAGACAATCTATATTCGAAACGGTCACTTTAAACAAATAAAATGATCAATTTAGATTAAAATTGGTCAATAATATACAGAAAAAATAGACACTCTGTGGAAAACAGTCACTTGTTAAGAGAGTGTTGTATTAAAGAATTGGGTGAATGAAACGGACACCATACATATAAACATGATAGGTTATATTGGCGACACCACTTGGAGGGTTCATCAAAAAATTTCATCTCTCTCACATTAAAATTAACCTTCAACTAAATTTCATTTATTGACCATCTACAAAAAATAGCGAACTAGGATCTGTGACACACTGGTATTGTAGCTTTGTCACCACTAACCCTAGTTCGCAAGTTTGCGGAGTCGGTCATCGCCTTTATTTTTTATTTTTGGGATATAAATAAATATTTTCAAACATTCATATTTGATTTTTTCTCTATTTTTAAAAGATAATATATAAGTTTTAACAGTTATCAACTCAACATAAAAAAATGCAATCATGGTTTAAAAATATCTAAAGGTGGGCATATTGAGTAGGTGTGTTTTATTTCCATCACTCCCTCAACAAAATCCTGTAAATATTGACTTTAAATTGGTTTTGTTTCCTTTTAATTTTGGGATATTTGAGATTTCTTGAAATATTTGGCTGTCACATATTTATGTACATATGATGCTTCTATATAGATATGAAAAAACGTGTGACTAATTACACTGATAGACAAAACTTATGGAAGTTGTACCTTATAGCATATATATATCGGGATTCAGAAAATAACTCTGAGAGATATTTTCTGTCTCCCGATATATATATGCTATAAGGTACAACTTCCTTAAGTTTTGTCTATCAGTGTTATTCAATTAAATGGACTAGGTTATAAGGTATATAATTTAAAATTTGGTCATTTTTACTATAAAAAGTAAGGATTTAAGCACACATCAAATATTTCTAATTAAAGAAACATTCGTGCTTAAATATTTTCATTTTATGCATATAGATGGCGCGTTATTGTTTTGTGTTAATTTTAAAAATAGTTTAAAGAAATGTTTCAATCAAAACATAAACATGCATGAATTATATCAACAATGAATAGTAATGCAGAAGAAGGAGAGTTTCTTTTCTTATATGAAAAAAGATTCCACGTTAGAAATATAACATCCTTCGGCCTCTTCCAACATTAGAAACAATAATGAAGTTATCAACTAAGAAATAGACAAAAGAAAATATCAATGAGCAAACATCAAAATATTTTCCATCTATTGACCATCTATGCAAACTAGCAGACTTGGAAAGGTGACAAACTGGTGCTGTAGCTTTATCACCACCAACCCTAGTCCGCTAGTTTGCGGAGACGGTCAATGCTTTTATCTTTATATTTTGGGATATATAAAAATATTTTTGAACGTTCATATTTGATTTTAATCTCATTTTATAATATATGATTCTCTAACAGTTATACACTCAAAATAATAAAATATCAATCATAGTTAATAAAATATCTAAAATTGGCTGTGCATTGTGCGTGGACGTGTTTTGAATCCCTCCACAAAATCCATTAAATATTGCCTTTAAATTGTTTTGTTTCCTTTTAATTTTTAGATAATTGAAATCTCTTCAAATACATGTTACAAATTTATGCAAATATGACGGTTTAATATACATATGCAAAAACGTGTGCAAAATACATATGCAAAAATGGATTAGGTTATAAGTTAATTAATTAAAAATTTGGTGATTTTTCAAATATAAAATGGAAGTATTTAAGCACGAATGTTTCTTTTATTAGAAACATTCATAATTTGATGCACTAGCGCGCCATCTGTTATCAAAATTCAAAACTATTTTAAAGGCGTAAGATTATTTTTGATATTAAACCATTTCTACTGCCCTTACTGCAATGGAAAAATATATAACAGCGGTATGGTATTTTAAACTGGCGAAACCGCTGAGAGGGTTCACCACTGATGAGCCAGGCCCTCTCATTAATGTTTCCATTGCAGTAAAGGCAGTAGAAATTGTTTAATATCAAAAAGAATCTTACGCCTTTAAAATAGTTTTGAATTTTGATAAACATTCATGCTTAAAGACTTTCATTTTAGGCATTTTGATGGCGCGTTATTGATTTGTGTTAATATTTTTAATATTTTGGAAAAATTTTCAATCAAAACATAAAAATTGCAATAATTTTATCAACAATGAAAAATCAAGCAGAATAAAAAGTTTATTTTTTTAATGATAGGTATAAGGAGATTCCACATTAAAAATATTGAAACGGTTCGTCTCTTTCAATATTAGAAATAATAACGAAACTATCAACTCAGCAATGGACAAAAGAGTAGAACATATTTAAATCAGTGAACAAACAAACACACACACACAAATAACAAAACAACAAGAAGAAGAATTAATTGTTAAACACACTTGCGGTTATACTATAGAATGTTGACATGTGTACTTCTCAAGGTTTAATCTTTCCCCAAAACAAAATTAAAATTCATAATTATAAAAAAGTGCCATGAACAGGTTTCGAACCTGGGTTATTGCGACCACAACGCAATGTCCTAACCACTATACAATCACGGCAGGTGACACCTGGACACTTACAGGGTTACTTGAGAGAAATAATATGGTCACGTGATACAGAAGGGCTATTTTTACATGGTTCTTATAGTTTACAGAAAAATATTGCACTTCTAAACAGATTTCAAATATATTTTTTCTCGCGCAATGTTTATTTCCTTGAGTACACACAGGAAACAATTGACTTACAATGGGCATAGTGAAGGTTGGAAATAGGAAGATTACTGCAATGTCGCCCTACCTCCCGAGACCTCAAGTAGCCCTGTAAGTATCCAGTTGTCACCTGCCGTGATCGTCTAGTGGTTAGGACATTGCGTTGTGGCCGCAATAATCCATTTTCGAATCCTGGTCACTGTACCTTTTTTTAATGGTATTTTTATAAGTTGTAATGTAAGACTTAGTTTTGTGAAGGGTTTTTATTTTAAGCGAGGAAAAGCAAAGATTATCTATTTTATTTTGAAGTGTGTGGAATATATGTTTTATACTTTAATTATAGAAAAACGATTAATTGACTACATTATCTTTTAAAGTATCCAAACTTGCGAGTCCATATGATAGAAATATGACATCTGCTTCATCACCTCATAAATAAAATTTGCATGTTTATTTGCTCATTTTTTTCTTTAGAATTGAAGCCTGTTGCATTCCGATAACTTTCGAATCGACCTAACCAAGAAATTCAATCTTCTTTCTATTTAAAATAATATTTTGACTCATTTTAATTATATATTTTACTTATAATTCATTTAAATTATTTTTTACTTATATATATATAAAAATAAATAATGTATTGTTTATTTACTTCATTTACTTTTGAAAGAGAATGGTTCACAAAAATTTGAAAATGGCTGAAATTCCATAGAAAACTATAAAAGAGGGGACAACAACAAAAAATAAATAAATAATAAAAGGTAAGTTGTTCTGAAAGTGTTTAAAATAAAAGCCCTTGAATTTTCAAAATATCATAATAACAATTAAAGTAGTGTGAAAATAATACAAAAGTGAATTTGTACTTAGATCAGGTAGTTAAATTAAGAAAAAAAGGCATTTCCTGATCGTGCAACTGAAAGTTGATGATGGCTTGCGCCATCTAGACGAGGACCAACAACCCGAAACGCCTACGTGGTTAGCTTTTCTTGATTAATCAAAAACGTTATTTGGCCAATTCTAGAATAATTAAAAATCAACAATTAGTTTTTATTCATTCCGATAGATGGCGCAAGCCATCAGCAACTCTCAGTTGCACAATCAGGAAATGCCTCTTTTCTTAATTAAAGTAGTGTCAGAAGAAATAAGAGTGCCATTTGGGAGATGTCGTTCCATTTCATATGATGATCTGGCTCTAAAAAAAAAAAAAAAAAAACATTTTTGAAAGTTTTTTTTCTCGGATATTACCTCAGGAAGAGAAAGAGCCATCAATCGAGCATGTTGGTCGACGATTCCAAAGCAAATGTCTCAGCACTCACAGTTACAGTAGATAAACTAAACAACAAAAGCTTTATTAAGACTTTTTAGTCTTATACAAATTCTCCAAGCAGAAATATAGGATACATGCAGTAAAACAGTAATAGAACTTAATGATAACATGATAAAGCACAATTTGGATTATAGATTATAATAAAAGAAAATAAGACCTAAACCAAATAATTTATTAGTGCGTGACGTTTCGGCAACAACATTGTCACAATCATCAGACAAAAGAATAAATGACGTTTATTTCGTCGGTTATTCATTCTTTTGTCGGATGATAGTGACAATGTTGTTGCCGAAACGTCACACACTAATAAATTATTTGGATTAGGACTTATTTTATTAATGATAAACATGATATTTATATACAGGGAAAATTATATAAAGACAATCAAGCCAATAGATTAATCTGGGCAAATTGGAGGCAAAGAAAGTTACTATACATGGATTTACCACGGATTCTCTGCAAATGAAGATAAACAGTAAAAGCTGATTACAATCAATATTGAGAGAGAAAATGAGATTCATATACCAGAAAACCTAATTAAGACAATTGGGCTCATAAACAGATTCGAAAGGGTATATCCGAGGGGGGAAAAAAGATGCAAAATAAATTTAAAAAAAAAACACTGGAATTTACATATGATACATGCACTAAGATTTTTCGTTCTAATAAAAATACTCCTAGGCTGACCAATGAAGGTTATAAGAATTTGATATGTAGCTTTTTTTACAGTATTTTCATTCATAGAAAGCGAAATATAAAAGAAATTGAGGCAAGGGAAGAATAAATATTATACCGTGTTAGCTCTTGTGGAAATTATTTGGTAGCAGCTCTGAGACTTCTCTTATCTATTTAAGAACTTTTCCTAGTCATTATCCCCGCCCTTGACATTGCTGCTTGGACTTCACTTGTAAGCATTTCGACCTGCGAGTCAATTGTGGAGTCTTCCACTAGTAAATTAGTTGAATCCCTCAAGCTGCCTTTGTAAGATGTAGCCTTGTCAGATGCCATCAGAACGAATCTTTGTATCATCTTTTGCCTTTATATTGTTTAGACCATTAAATTTTGGGAAAAGTGGTAGATGATCTAAATAAGGCATGCATTCAATAGTAAGATCAACAATCACCTCAAGTAGTGAAGGCGAAACAATAGAAAGATCTATAACTGAGGATCCTTGAGTTAAAAAATAAAAGTAAAGTGTCCATATTTATCACTGATAGATCCGCCATTTATTACCGTGAGTGAATTATCATCAATAAAATAATAATTCTACAGAGTCCACCTATATTCCAAGAGATTATTCTATGAGGATTGTTCCTTATAGTGATGTAACATTTTATTTTGATAAATAGAATGTTTATGCTAAGCTACAAGCGCAGATTGACGACTTTTATTCGTTTTTAAAAATGAGTAATTATGTGATAGTTCTTGTCTAGGTTGTCGCAAAAATTCATCCTTAAAAAGATATTTTAACTATGGAAAATTAGGTTGGACGGTGGTACAGTATGAATGCTATCCGAAGTTTTCTATAATGCATCCCCGTTGGAGCTGACAACGCGGCCATTTAAAACAGAGTAGCTTATGCCACGGACAATTAGCCTGTTATCTCTTAGTTCTAAAACAGTTCTCTTACTCATGAGTTCTTTTCGCTTTCTAATTAGCAATATCCTTTGGTCTCCAATAGTTGTAGGGTAATCTTTATTTATGATTTTTTTTGTCACTGAGTCTGAAAGCGTTCCTAAACGCAGAATTCTTTGCTTGAAATCAGGCACCTCAATAAGCAGCGGCGAGTTAGCTTTTTTGTCAATCTTCGGCCCTCACCTCCTAATAGCTTTTCAGAAACAATCACAGCAACTAATAACCAACGTACTCAAGGTCTGAGGGGACAAAAGACGAGTCCAGGTGATGAAGATCCCGGCAAGACCATCAAAACAAAGACAATCACGTCGGGAGACGTCGTAAGTGGACTGCCAGAATCTACGCTAGAAGATTCTCCTGTGATTCAGAAGTCCGAAGAGTGTCGACAGCAGGAAATTATCCAGACTGGTTGTGTAGCGGAGAAGAACGAGCGGATCGCTTCCGACAATGACTGTGGTACGAGTCTTTTGAACCAAATCAAGCGGACAAAAGGAGAATTCCCTCCAGGTGAGACACCAGGAATTCCAACCCATGCAACGGTGACAGACTGTCAGGGACCACAGCGGCGATCCAACTAGGCGGGACGGATCTGGGTGCTCCATGGAAGTACGTCAAGGTTAGATGGTCGAAGCTCCCCGAAGTTGAAGCCGGCGACCCGACTGAACGGGATAGAGCATTGGACGCTCTGTGGAAGTCCGACGACAATGTCTGTGACGCTGAAGTCGCGCGCAATGTGTTAACGCCGTCGTCTGCCATAATAGCTGAAAATATGTGCCAAGAATGTTTACCCATCATCTTAATTTCTTCGCCCGACAAGGTGCAGATCAAACAGCCACCTCCTACAAAAAGTTCTACCGACGTTAAGACTATCACGGGGACCGACATTTCCAACAAGTTTGAAGAGTTCACAGCTCATTGCAGAATCGACATGAAGTCCAGGTCTAGAGGAATAAATCCCTGTGAGATTATCAAAAGCAATTACGAGCTGGATAGCTACGATAAGGACAGTGTGGATCAGTTGGAAACATCTACTGTAAAGATGGACCATCTACAGCCCCGTCGCGAGAATGAGAAGAAAGCCAGAGTTGGGATGTGGTTCTGCAAACAAGGGTTGACGCTAATCCTGCCGCTACGCTTCCGGGAGACTGACGACCCTCATGTGGCCAAAGACGTCAGAGAGATCAAAAGGTCGCGATCAGCGCCATAGGTGAAATCAGTCCTTTTCGGGAGGAAAAGGATTGGAAAGGGGGCAGTGTAACGTGGATGACAAGGCCAAGAGACCAAAGTAAAGTTGGGAAAAGAGGGGAGGACTCTAGCGGCCCCCGTTGCCATGTGGCAGGCGCTTAAAGGCATTTCTGTTTGGGGGAGAACAGAGTCGGCTGACATCAGCGGCAAGGAGAAAACGTGGCGACTTGCCTCCGGGCGTGTGGATGATCCTGCGATAGGGTGCCAGGAGAGCCTGACATTGGAGCGGCCACACAAGCCGGTGTAAGTCAAGGCTGGACTTGAATAGTGTGGAACAGGAGGTTCCACAAGAGGACATCCACGGCGCCAAGGATACTTCTAACAGGGAGTTGAAGGCAAATCCCACTTATTTAATTCCTTTTGTTAGTGAGAAATAATAAAGTGCTAACTTTAACTGCAATCCCTTCGAATTTACGTGTGTATCTTTGTGGCATCCTGAGTAGACAAAGTACACGAATAGCGTCTGGGTACGACGTAACAATACTATACTATGTTGATATTATACACTTCTCAAGGTTAAATCTTTCATCACAACTTAAATAAAATTTCCAAATTATAAAAAGGTGCTGTGACGAGGATTCGAACCTAGGTTATTGCGGCCACAACGAAATGTCCTAACCACTAGACGATCACGTCAGGTGACAACTGGACACTTACAGGATTACTTGAGGGGAAGAAATGGTCACGGGGATACAAATAGATCCAGGTTGGCCATTTGTACATTGCTGTCTTGTAGTTTATATTATACAGAAAAACACACACACACAATTGCTCTTCTAAACAGATTACTCACAATAGACATAGATAAGGTTGGAAATGTTCCTCACCTCAAGTAGTCCTGTAAGTGTCCAGTTGTCACCCGCCGTGATCGTCTAGTGGTTAGGACATTGCGTTGTGGCCGCAATAACCCAGGTTCAAATCCTGGTCACGGCACTTTTTTTTTAAATTTGGAATTAAAATTTGAGAATCGATGAAATATTTAACTTTGAGAAGGTATATAATGTCAACATAGTATATTTCGCGAATTTCAAAATTTAAAAAAGAATTGAATAATGTTGTAGCAAAATATTTATTATTTTATTAATATCATCATATATCAATTATCAATTATTTTATTTCCAAAGCGCTATATCTCGCAAGGGATACTTGCGCCAAACAAGGAGAAAAGTTTATTTACATAAGATATTTACATTATTCAACACATGAAAACATTAGAGATCCAGATTTTGTAGAAAGTCTAGAATGTATTTCAAAATAGTATAATATTTTATGTTTATATTTTGCTACTCTGTAAACTACCCTCAAAGCTTATCTTTTGTTTATCATTCATAGTTTGTTCTTGCCTTGAATAAATTTCTGTATCATCCAGACGTTTATCTTTCTTAATTTTCCACTTGGCCTTTTGGTAGAGATGCTAGGTAAATTAGGGAAGTCAAACTGAAGATCGCTGAGAAGACATAGAGGCCATGGGTGCTGTGATCTACATTTTCAGAGACTGGCTCCAGGATTTCACCTCCATGTCAAAGCCAAGATTTCCTTAAAGATGACTATATTCCTATAGACGATGTGACGACAAAGCCGCTCTTTACGTCGCAAGAAAAAGGACGCAAAGGTATTATTGACAAGGTTCCAAGACTTCGATGGAATCCTTAGCAGAACCATCAGATCCATGTCAGTTACTACAATAATTGCAAGCTGTGGGTCACAGCTCCCATACGAATGGAGCTACGTTGCAAAGTATTTATTATTTTATTAACAGAGTATCATTTTTTAGGTTTATATTTTGATACTCTCTGTAAATTTCCCTCATTTTGCTTAACTTTTGTTTATTATTCATAGTTTTTCTTGCCTTAAATAAATTGCTGTCTAATCCTTAAATTTGTCTTTCCTAATATTTCACGTGGCCTTATTTTAAGGCGTAATTGTCTGAGAGCCAATTAAAATACAATGCCCTAAAGTTATGCTCTATGAAAGTTATATTTGATATAAATGCAAATTATATGTTTTGCAGCTTTGAGGCCGAATTGTACAACCATGTTGACAATAAATGCTGTGATTAGGATTGACTCAAAGAAAGAAGCAACAATTTTATGCCTTGGGGTAGGTCATTTATAGAATATAACATATATTCAAAGAGCAGCAACACTTCTATGTGAATTGCATTATCAAAAATGTAAACCACTCTTTGTTATTGTTCTAATCAATAAGAATTTTTATTTAGTTGACCAAATTTACACTCAGGGACGAACTTAGGAAGTTGGTGGAGTAGATAGCATAATGACAACTGGACACACAGGGCTACTTGAAGGGAAGAATATCGCCACATGATACAGAATTGTAATTGGTACATCACTTTATTGTAGGTTATTTACAGAAAAACTTTGAACGCCTAAACAACTCTAAATAATTTTTTCTTCAATGTTTATTTCCGTGAGTGCAAATACGAGGAAGCAATTTACCTATGGACATAGTGAAGGTTAGAAATAGAAATATTGCTGCAATGTCGCCCTACATCACGTGACCATTTTCTTCCCCTCAAGTAGTCCTTTAAGTGTCCAGTTGTCACCCGCCGTGATAGTCTAGTGGTTAGAACATTGCATTGTGGCCTTAATAACCCAGGTTTTAATCCTGGTCATGGCACTTTTTTCAAATTAAGAATTAGTTTTCAAGTTGTAATGTAAGAATCATTTTTTTGATGGCTTTTATTTTAAATGAGGAAGCAAACATTATATATTTGATTTTTGAATATTTATATTTCAATGAACATTGACCGATAATTATAATAATGAATAGATTCAAAAAGGATAAGTTTCTTTATTTGAAAAATCAATTCGAGCTTTCGGGCGCAAGCTGCCCTTCTACAGGAATAATGGATACAATTTCAAGTAGTCATGTATGTACAGATATATATATTTTCTTTAAATGGTTTCTCGCTTTGGTCTTGTATAGCGTGAGTGGATCAAATACCCACGTGATTTAGTTTAAATCAAAGAAAAGCCTTGATAAAGAGAGGCGTGTTGCCTCTAGAAATACTAGCTGATTAATAATTTATATCCAGTATATGCCCTATATTTATTTATATATATATATAAGCTATTTTTTGCATATCTAGGATTATTTATGAAGTTTTATATTTTATTATTTAAAAAATATTATTGCTATGTAAATTAGTTAATTGGTTGATATTATTATATGCAAAATTGTTAAGTGGTGTGATGAAGAGAAAACGGATAATTCTACTTTAGTTTTTGGACCAGCCTATCAAATGTCTCGGGATATCTATGTGTATATTTATACTATTATATTTTGATGAAATCAGTGATTACAGTATTAATCTTTTGTATTTACTATTTATGTTTGTGGAATGAATATTAGGGTTTGCTTGGTTGAAATCGTGATCTGTGTTTCTGATATGTTGTACTATTAGAGATTTGGGGTCTTTGTTTTTAATATTTCTTAATATTAACCGATATTTAATATTGACCGATAATGTTTTGAAAATTAAGCAACCCAAAATAAATAAATATTTAAATAAAAAGGCATATATTGGATCAAGGTATCATATATTTTACCAATATTTCAGTTGGCTGAACGCCAACCTTTATCAAGGTTTTATAACATTTTGAAGTGTGTCAACAACAAACTCAGCGCCAAATAACGTCAATAGAATTGAGTTTAAAAATATATTTGCTTATATTCAATGGGGAGAGAAAAATTGATATATAAATTTATATTATGGACAAAATTAATTTAGTAAAATAAGGGTATGGATATTTTGAATATTAACAATAACGCATATTTTATATTTAAATTTATTTGTACAATGTGTAAAAGGATTTTTTATATAAAAATAAAATAAAAATAACAAATTAAATATAAAAGAAATGCTGAACTAAAATTTTTTATCGAAAACCTCAAGTGCATAAAATGTTTGCAAAGTTGGTTAAATTAGTTAAATTATTAATATTTTAATTTAACCAAATTTGCAAACATTTTATGCACTTTGTGTTTTCGATAAAATATTTTAGTTCAGCATTTCTTTTATATATAATTTGTTATTTTCATTTTTTTTATATAAAAAATCTTTTTACACATAGTACAAATAATTTTAAATATATAATAGGTGTTGAAAAAGGAGGAAGATATGAGAGGGCACTGAACACCGGAGGATTTTATTGAACCGATCACGGTAAGATAACACAACTAACTAACTAACAACGATATTCCATCCATATATACACCGCAACACACCACAGAGCAACAGGTCACTGGTCAAAAAATTATATCATGAAATCCGAGAGAATTGCCATTTTAACACTTCCTCTCAATTCATCAGATCTCTACATTCCAAATCCAGTGACGTGTTTTTCATACAAAAACCTTGGTAGGCCTTTAGTAAGGATGTCGGCAACATTTTCTTGGGTTGGTGTGTGGACGACCTCGACAATTCCATCGCTGCAAATGCTTCTGATGAAATGCCATTTGATGTCAATATGCTTAGTTCTGGCATGATAAACCGGATTCCTCGCCAGCTGTTGAGCACCCTGGTTATCCGTCTTCAGAACAGTCGGTCCATTCAGCAATTCACCAAATCCCATCTCATCCAACAGCGCTCTAAGGTAGACTGCCTCCTTTCCTGCTTCACAAAGTGCGATGTACTCAGATTCTGTGCTCGAAAGAGTGACAGTCTGCTGCTTCTTCGATTTCCAGGCTATTGGACCTCTTGCCAAAAAGTAAACAATTCCCGTATGAGATTTTCTATCCACGAGGTTTCCACCCCAATCAGCGTCGGCATAACCATGAAGAGCCTCATTAGATTTCCTGTAGGTAATCCTCAAAAATGAGGTGCCTTTCAAATAGCGGAGGACACGCTTGGCAGCATTCCAGTGCTGTCTCCTAGGATCATTACTGAACTGTCCCAAAGCACTAACTGCATAGGCTATATCGGGCCTTGTCGACACTGAGAGATATATCAATGATCCAATCAGTGATTGGTATTCTACCTTTTTCACTGGCTCATTCTCACCTTCTATAGATGAAATTTTTGTTAACTTGGAGTTCGAGTCCATGGGTGTAGAAATAGGCTTTGCCTCTTTCATCCTATATTTCGCCAGAAGTTCTTCAATATATCTCTCTTGATCTATGGATATTGAACCATCCTCTTTCATTTGTATCCTTATACCCAGGCAACAATTTATCCCTCCAAGATCCTTTATTTTGAATATCCTTTTCTTACTTTCTTTAAAGGATTTCAACGTGTCTTCTCTTTCAGCCGCAATTATCAGATCATCAACATAGATTGCCACCAGGAGAATACCTTCATCATGCTTGATATAGACACAATTGTCAGATTGAAGTTGCTTCAGTCCCAAATTCTTTAATTCAGTGTCAAGCTTTTCATGCCAAACTATTCCAGCTTGTTTTAACCCATAAATGGCCTTCTTGAGTCGACATACCTTCTCTGGATATTTTCTTGAGACGAAGTTTTCCGGCTGTGTCATGAAAATTTCTTCTTTAATTTCTCCATTCAAATAAGCAGATTGAACGTCCATCTGATGGAGTATCAAGTTGTATTCAACAGCCAAGGCTAAAAACATTCTAATAGTACTTTGGCGCACTACTGGGGCAAAAGTTTCCTCGTAGTCTATTCCGTACTGCTGTGAATAGCCTTTTGCTACCAGGCGAGCCTTATGGCGCTCAACAGAACCATCACTATTGCATTTCGTTTTGAATACCCATTTGGTTCCTATGATGTTTCGATTCTTAGGGGGATCAACCAATTCCCAAGTTTTGTTTTCAATCAAGGAATCAAACTCTTCCTCCATTGCTTTCTTCCAAAAATAAGAATCCCTTCCTGACAGCGCTTCCTCTGCGTCTTTTGGATCTGGCAAGTATTTCGCCTCTAGAAGTTCTTGCGTTGACAAATTGGCTGTAGGGTACTCCTTTCTTGGTCGGCCAGGTTTTCCTGTTCTAATATATCTTGGTCGTCCTCTTCCTCTTCTTGAAATGATCACTTCACTTTCTGACGGCTCGTCCACTAAATCAGACATCTCTAGATCCGATTCACTTTCGATTTCAGTTCGTGATTTATCTTCGGATGTGCTTCCCTTTTCTTCAACTAGAGGAATTTCCTTGACAAAAGAATCTTTTTGTGGACTAACATCAATTTCAATGACTTCATTCCGAATTCTTGATAATTCTGGTTCAATAAAACGTACATCTATACTTTTTATAATTGTACGTGTACCAGGCTTCCAAAGTCTGTATGCCTTAGATTCTGTGAAATACCCTATTAACTTGTATGCCTCACTGCAAGGTGCGAATTTAGATCTATTCGGCCTATTATTCACGGCAAAGGATTCACTTCCTATAATTTTTAAATGAGAAACTACAGGTTTTCTTTTGGTAAATAGCTCATGTGGAGTTTTACAATCGTTATTTCTCGGGCATCTATTTCTGATATAAGTTGCTGTGTGTATTAGTTCAGCCCATAAAGTTTCAGGTAAATTACCTTCAATCATAAAGCACCTTGTCATATCTACTAGAGTTCTATTCGCTCTCTCAGCGACACCGTTCTGTTGAGGTGTATATTCGACAGAGAGCTGACGTCCTATACCTTCTCCTTCTAGGTAATCCTCGAATTCTCTGCTAAGGTATTCAGGCGCATTATCATTTCTAATACATTTCAACTTTTTTCCGGTTTGCTTCTCAGCATAATTTTTGAATATTCTAAATCCTTTAAATACTTCACTTCTTGATTTCATTATAAATGTTTAAGATAAATCCTGAGAAGTCATCAATAAATGTTGAAAAATAAAGGGCGCCACCCAATGATTTTGTTCTCATGGGACCACAAATGTCAGTATGAACCAGCTCCAGTGGTTCCCTTGATCTTGTAAAAGACTCTTTCTGAAAAGGTAGCCTTGTTTGTTTACCTTTCAAACAAACTTCACAGTTAAAATTTTTACCATCAAAATTTGGCAGGCCGTAAACAATATTTTGCATTTTTAGCTTTTTGAGATCTTGCAAATTTAAATGGCCAAATCTACTATGCCATTTTTCGTAATTTTTCTCTCCAGCTATGCAAATTTCTCTTGTCGCTAATGCCTTAGGACAATTGATTTGACTTAAGATGTAAAGTCCTTTCTTTTCATATGCTTGTATGCAAATTTTTGTGCGAATGTTCACAATTTCAGCTTTTCTGTGCTTGAAATTAACGACATTAAATTTACTTGTGCACTTACTGATAGAAAATAGATTTCCATTTAATCTAGGTACAAACAGCACATCTTCTAAGGATAGGGTTACAGTTCCAGTATTGCTTTGACATTCCAATTTTACATTCCCCTTTCCTATAGCTTCAATGAATTGACCATCTGCCAGTGTAATTTTTACTGGTGCAGTGTCTTCAAAATAAGTGAATGATTTCTTTGTGCTACACATGTGGGCAGTTGCACCACTATCCAAGCACCACTCGTTTGCATCAAGTTTGTTCAAACATTCGATTCCTAATGATGCAACCATTTCAGTTCTAGAACTCTTGAACTTTCTTTTTCTGCAATCAGCAGCTTTATGTCCCTTTTTCCCACAGAAGTGGCAGTTAAATGGGAATCCTTTCGCCTTTGGCTTCGATGTACTTG